CACAAACGCTAACGATCAAACTAACACTTAGTACCTACTATTATATAATATTATCTACGAATTTGCGAAAGGATCAGATTTTCTTATTAACAGGGCTTCGCATGGCATACAAGTTATACGCTAATTAAGCGCTAATTGACGTCTTCGAGCGTGACTGTGAACATCATTTAACTTTACTAACATGTAAAGCGGCTTTTTATATAACATAGTTTTTTTGGAAAAATAAAAATTAAATGTAACGTTTACCATAATAGTATTCATTTAAAAAGAGAAATAATTTATAAAATAAATAATTAAATTTGAAAGATATATTGCCATAAAGTGGACAAAAAAATATATATTTCCTATGATATAATTAAAATAAAGTTAACACACAAATAAGGTCGCGGATACAGAATTATAAGCATTTTTTAATTAAAATTTCATTTCTTCACAAATTCCCTACTTCACATATGCTTCGCATCTAAACCAATTTCCCACACAGGCTGCATATTAAGTAAATGACGATAACGGTTTAAAAATCATATTCATATTAGTGAACTTATATGAATGAATTGATAATAATTCAAACAATACAAACCACGCAATAAATCCATGGCTCAAGGCGAATATGTACTTAAAGAATAATTAATTGAACGTTTTGAACACTTATCAGCAAGTACGATCACACGACGGGATTTGTATTTACAGTGGCTGTTACGAAAACCCGTCACGAGTTTTTGGATTTCCTGTCGACAAGTGACAGTGAGGTCTAACGACAGTAACTTCCAACACTAATTAACTTGATTAATTCCGACTGTACATAAATCAGCTTGAAATCGTTTTTTCATTTGAAGTAGTACGATACATACAGTGACTTAAACAGGAATAAACTAGTTTGAGCTGGCTGCCAGTTACCACGTGCCATGCTTGCGATACATACAGTGACTTAAACAGGAATAAACTAGTTTGAGCTGGCTGCCAGTTACCACGTGCCATGCTTGCGTTTCGTTAACTAATTTATCGGTTGAAAGCGAGGATGATAGCTAAAAAATATCTGAAGTAGAAGATTAAACATTACGTTTAATGTGTATACCTATAAAACGTTCCTTTAATCTTTATTTTGCTGGTATTTCTGGTACACTACCACAAAAGCAATAACGTCTCCAAAGCTGATTCATCCATACTTCTTTCCTATATAATTCCTCAATTCACAAGTTTAAATGGATATAATTGAATATCGATTAAATGATATGCTATATCTCGATTCCATTACTCGCGCATGTATTCAAAATTAATTTCGGCATATAGATATATACATATATTTCATAACTTCGGGGCGTGCTGAAATTTAATTAAAGGGCGACGTGATTCGACTTGTGATGGCGGCCCCTATATTTAAATGTAGATAAAATTCGAATAAACTAAGATCAAAATAATCGCCTCCAAAAGGGGAACAATTACAGAACTTTTTTTTTAATTTAAGAAAATCGCAACCCAGCTGACGATTCACCTGATGTTAAGTGATAATATTGGGTTGCGAATGCGTTGTCATCTTTCAAGAAAGTGCGACCTGCCCATTCCTGCAATAGCGAAGATTTCCGCGTGAATTCTACTTTATACAACTATAATATTGTGGTTTCTTCGAGTACCTATCTAGTGCAAGATCGCCATCACATTAACGACTAGTGGTGATGTAGCTATTGGAGGTAAAAATAACTCAGCAGATAGCTAGTTTCACAATTCCTATTCTTGCCTTGAAGTCTTCAGTTACAGTTACCTACTTAACGGAAAGATTGTCACAGGCAGAATGTTCCACCCCTTTGTTTTCATACGCTTAATGAACTATTTATTTATATAACTATTTAGCAGTTACTTGCGAATTTTTTATAGCTATTCTCTGCACTCAAGTTTATACTTAAAATGAGTAATTTTAGATTTAGTTTTTCTAAACTGCGTCTTTCGGGTAACGCGCCCAGACGCTTTAACCAATTAGGCTAAGCGATCGATAACCTAACGGCACGAAAATCTCAACAAAAAAGATAAATCATTCAACAGTTATCCAACCGCATTACAAGTTATGGTAATAAGTTAACAATACATCTGTACCCATTATGGGTAACAGAAACAAATAGTTATGTACATATGTAACTACCAAGTCGAGTAAATTAATTAATATTTATCACAAACACGAGAGGAATATTGAATAGATACTCAGTAACGACTAGAAGACATCGAGCGATGAAATCGTTACGGGAAGTGTTAGTTCGGATTTGCTTAGTGGGTGAACGCTTCTATCGTGCCATTGCGTAAATATTATTGGTTGTCGTGAAGGAAAATATCGAGCGAAAACAAAGCTTCATTATGGTATAGTAGTATGGTAGTATGGTGGTATGTTCGGGTCGCAATAGCGCTTACCCACTAGTTATAGCAATTTGTGTATACAGGCATGGGGGGAAAAACGGTTCTCGCGTGGCAGCTTCGTATTAACCGTCGCAGTGTATGAAGAACCAATCACTAGATGGAGTGAGGGCCTGTGCAAAGTTGCAAGTGGCTCAGGATAGTGTTTCGTCTTAGTCTGTATGGGCAAGCAGTGGCCCAGAACAAGCTGAAATTATGATGATAATGATATTGGCATCATTGCACAATAGCATTAAACGGTGCTACTACTAGTGAAAATAAAAATCGCGACCCTTCGGATTTCATGCCCATTGGTAATCACTTAACAATGGATGAACCGTTGGTATGGACAGAAATCACGGTACAATACAATGAGCTTCGACTTTCATACCTCTTTCGCGACTGTCGCATATAATTATATACTGATAAAAACACGTACTGTACATATAAACATACTGTATAGATCAAAATAATATATTAATCCAATGTGATATTTTTACTGCATACAAACCGAAATATAAATAATTGTACGAACGCATACGTGGATCGTATAACAAACACAGCGAGAGGCAGCCCTGTCGCAAGTCGCCGCGTGGCGTCAGCACGCGGTCTCACGGAATGTTCTCGAACGCCGAGATAACACGTGTACTTACTAACGGACCACCAATTGCGCAACAATACAATGCGTACGCGATAACTCCACTCTCGTAGAGTCCATGGCGGAAAGTTAGTCAGACGTGGTACTTGTAATAGGATATTTGGAAAATATTACATCGAGTATTTACTTAAGGCAAATATTAAATTACGCAAATATATAACGGAATGGAAATTTTTGTTTGTGGTCGAACAAAATCGTCAATGTACCTAAAACAATTATTTTTCCAAGTTTAATTAAATAAGATGCGACCGGCAGTTTCATGTTTTAAAATTTGGGACGTTTCGACATACAAAACGAAATCATCGACAATTCAAACACTCGTATGTTATTTTAAAAACCCACAATTAATTATTGTGGCACTCAAACAAAAAAACAGTATACTACATTCCTACCTGTCCTAAGTTTCTCGAAATAACGGCCAATTTATTACCAGACGAAAGGACTTCGTCGAACTCAAAGCTACTTAAAACTTTGAAGCGTTGTAAAAACTAGAAGCGCTTATTAACCCAGCTGTGAATAATAACATTCTTAATGATTATAATAGTGACATAACTCGCCAACTTTTTCGTTCTCGATCGATTATCTGAAATCGCCACAAATATAACTAGCTATGTTCGAATATTTGACGAAGCTGAAGTTGCGCCTTAGACTCTTATCATTCGCGGCGCGGACGAAATAGCACACAAAAGGCTCTCTATATATAGTCCGGGTGAATCACAAAAATAGCAGCCGGCCATTGGGGGAGGGGGGGGGGGGGGAGAGTACGTATACGGGCGGAAATTCTCAATAGAGGCCCCGCATTCAAACGCGCACAAAACGAGTCCACTAAATTGGTCCATCTGCGGTCGCCGGGCGCGACCGTCGTCGGCCGATGAATGCCCACGGCTCTTTGGTTCTCTTTGTTAACTAATAGAACGGGAACTTAAATGGGAGACGATATTATAGAAAAAAGTCAACGTCACATGAATAGTGCGTACATAGATATGAAGACAACTGACATCCGAACTGACGCAAAATCAGATTTTGCTAAATTTGGGATCACGATTTGCGATCATCCACACCCGATATCTTGCAGATGTGTTGATAAAAAAGTGGTCCCTAGTTTACTCATTCTAAAACGAAAATTTAATACTGTGGTACTTCCTGTGGTACTTCCCAGGACGCTCCCAACCATACCTGCAACGGCCGAAGATGTTGCGTGGTCCTACCACAGTAGAAATCTAGCAAGACTTCTACGATTACTTATCGCACCTAGGATCTATCAAAGGTACCAATCACACCGTCTGCACCAGTACCGTCGTGAAACGTGGCACGCTCACAAACACAAAAGTTACGCACACAACAAAAATCTGCTCTGCACAATCGTTGGGAACGCTAATGGAGCGTGACGCGGGTTGGCCGTTGGTATCACAATGCCCTTTTTGGGCACTCCGGACTCCAGTGCACTCGTCCGAATAACACAAAGCGCACGGCGTTTAGAAAGCATGTCCTCCGTCCAATTCACTGAGCTGTAGTAGAGTTAAAAAATAGAAAAAAAAACGTGGAAACGTAATTTAAACTTTCACGAAGAAGTAGAACATTTTTTTAACAAAAATCTAAACAATCTTCCTCAGAAAATCTTTACTACTTAATTTTGGAGAGTTCCCTGATGTCTCTCGGGAGATCAATGATATTAATATGAAACCAAATGGGCACTATACCGTACCCAATGGAAAACGAATGTTTAGTATCGATTCATAAATAACGTAGTTCTGAAGTAACAATAAATAAAATAAAATTTCTTAATTAATAAAATATACAAGTTTAAAAGAATTATTTATATTTGACTGATTATGGTGTAACTATATCGTATTAAGATTCCTATCAGTAATTTAGTTTCGAAAACCTATTGGAATTGAATCTCTTTCAAACATTTGAAACACAGTATCGTATACATCAATTTAGATTCATCGACACGATACATATGTTGTTCTCAGCCCGTGGCAACCCTATCGTGATGGACAGCTCAAACGAGGAGTCGCACGAGTGTCGGCCGGGCTATTTCGAGGCGAGGTGCGTTTTCCTCTCCGCAATAATAGTAATGCCTAGGCGACGGTCGGCAATAATTGAGGCCGCGGACGGTGCACACAGAGTGGCGATTGTTGAGCCTCGTTGGCGAACGGCCGTCAGCCAGCGAGCATTCAAAGTATGTACATATATAGAGGAAAACATCTACGTGGGGGGTGCCATTGTATCTAATTTTAGCCGTTTGATACTTATAGCACTGGCAGTATTAATAACCATTATGCTAGGATTTCGTCATATTTTACCACTCCTGTCAAACTGTTAAACATGTTAACACATAGTAGGGCCGCAACAGTTCTCTCTGTTGCACGGGTAGGTCTATCCGAGTGAGTACCACGACCTAACAGAAGACCGGCGTGAAGTGGAAGCGTTGAAATTTTGCGTTTCGTCTAATGAGTGAGGAAGCCGGGGCCCACTTTAATAAAAAGGTCTCAACGCATCAGTAACCCTTCGGGTGTTGCAAATGTCAAAGTGGGGCGGTTATCACTTGACATCAGGTGAACCGCCAGCTCGCTTGCCACATTCTCAGACAATAATAATAACAACAATTGGACAACGCAACTCTCAACGATTGAAAATCATATTTTATCGTGAGTACCAAACACGTAAGACCCTCTATTGAATATGCTGCTGTATTTGACGAGCGGTTTAAAAAATCGCGGACTGAGGAAATCTACGTAGCTGATACACGACCACCACATCTCTGCGACCCCTGCTGACGAACCCCTGAAGGTGAACAATTCGCAACACGGGACGGCACGTCAAGCCCTCACAGATGGAGGTTAGAACCTCGAGTTGGGTCGCAATCGATAGGTATAGGTTTTAAAGTCTACGAAACGATCAAACAATGTTTGCCATTTAAGTCTGAGGAACTAAGTAGTTATAAACAAAAACGTCGTTAAAATATGTAGAAAAAGTACGAAAAGATTGTCGCCGCTGTGGGAATCGAACCCACGTCTTCGGCATTCGCAGCCTGACGCTTTAACCACTAAGCTAAACGTCGTTTACAATATGGCCGCGTGTATATTCAGTATCTTATAGAGGAGCCCTTTAAAGCGGTATGGGATTTGAACGACTGTTAACTTTACGACCCTCCAATAACAGTAGCTTACACGTAACAATATTGACGTTAACACCGACGATGAATACGGTGTGATACATTCTTATAATTACTCTTAAGAATTTCAAATTTGATACGTGACTGGCTGGACATATTAACGCGTCGGCGCCGCCACATTTCGTAAATAGACCAAGGAGACATTTATTACATATCTCAGCACGTAAATACTGCGGAATGCAAAATAAAAATAAGTGTAACGGCACATCAGCAAAACTTGAAACGGCGGAAGTCGTAACGTCTCCTAACATAAATCACGAATGTTTTCAGCAATTGATAAAAGATTTGCGACAGTAAAATGATATAATCGTCTTACAAAAGTATGTGATTCCGTAATTTGAAAATGTTTTAGTTCACAGCGTTTGATCGGACTTTAATTAAACTACAATTATGAAAGTAGAGGAAACGCGACTTGAGATTATTTTTATGGAAAAGGTGAAAAACAAACTAATGGGTCACCTTATGGTAAGGTTACACCACCGTGCGTTTACATTCGTAGCACAAGGCTTGAACATCGGCCTCCCCCACAAACTGCCACGAAACCAAAATCCTGAGCCACCGTCCATCCCTCACAAATGGTTTTAAGGAAAAATAATTCAAAATCGACGCTTTTATTAGTCACTGTGATCGGTTTTTTTTTAATCATAAATCACATCTTTTGCTTCTTTACCTACGATAAACAGTGTGACAAGTCAAAATCTGTTAAGGTCTTCTATTTTTCTAGTAAGTCTAAAATTTACAAACAGCTTTTGTTGCATTTGCAAAACAATTGCAAATTCTGGGCGTATAAATCTATTCATTTTAAAGGAAGAATATAAGAGATACGGTCATGAAGTTGCCATGTTCATTATAAGACTTTTTGGAACGCTATCTGTTTTAAAATCACACAAACTAATATATCTCTAACCCTTACAGGAGTCGCAGAGTAGGAAGATACATATAGCCAATGATATATAGGTAGTTTCAAAAGTATATAATTAAAGATTGCTGCAAGTTACGTCAACATATAGCTGTATTGACAGTATTACACTGTATAGACCCACAGGGAGTCTAAGTGATGTGACCCAATTCTAAGTCCAACGTATCACTTCCATCGGGAACAAAGGGTTTAACAAGCCCTTCTGAGCATGTCTATAATCCCATCGGCGGGCGGTAGCCGATAACCCGACTTGTGTGCCTATACAACGTTATTACACCATATACAGCCTAGATTGGATTTTCCGAACAATGGATATACGGGCGAGGCAAGTGAACGGCACTCGCCCGACTATGTAGTTGGATTTGCACAAGGATCTTATGGTCACGTACTAATTGATTCAGTTTCGCATTTTGTATAGGTGATATGCTTGAGACGATTTAGTGTTAAGGTATGAGAGTTTATACTCCGTCACGAATAATAATTTTTCTGTATATTAGTTGTAAAATACGTACTATAATATATTTAGAGCTCACGCTGCATCATTATTAACGTAACGTAAATAAAAGTACTTATGTTATCGATCGTAACTTTCAATAACTTGTCCATTGTAATATAAGGTAACAGTTGACTACCCGAAATAACAAAGTATATCGGGTCAGTTGTAATTGAAACGTAAACAGCGGTACGGCGTAAATACAATATTCATTACGTTATCGCGTTACTAAATTTCTCCGCTAGCGTCGATATACACCCCCTCCCTACTTGTAGAGGCGTGTAGACCGCGATATCACACGCGATATAATTAATTTAATTAACGTTAAAAGCTCCGGCGTCGAGTCGTTGGCTAGGCCGGTCTTTGTCAACGACGGGTAAGGTTGGAAACGAAAGGAGAAAAAAAACCGTCGTTTCATCATCGTGAAAGGCGAAAATGACTCACCCGGCTGGCAGCTTCGAAAGCGACGCTTGACGGGCGTGCGCTGTTGCTAAGCGACGTATTGAACACGGCCTTACCTGGAAACACGATTTAAATAATGAAAACGTGCCGCCAAACGAGCGAACGGGGTGTATAGAACGTTTTAATAATGTTCGGTTACTCCCTAGTTAACAAAGGCGTCATGGGAACACAAAACGATCACATTCGTTTTTAAAATCATCGTATGTAAACATATAGCAAAATCAAGTAAATGATTTAAACGAGTTCGAATTATGTAAAAACTGGTGGATCGTTTAAAGTCTTTTAGGAGGCAACCAATTACTTCAATTACCAAAAGCAATTGAAAGAAAAGTTCTGAAGTTTAATTTAAAATCGAGAATAAAACAAATGCACAACATAAGATTGTTGTAAATTGAAATTAACGTTAAAGCATTAATAAAATTTTTGGATAAATTTGAAAAAGATTTCACATTGGTATTGCGATGTTTTCACAAAGCTTAAAAACAATTTAACCTTTCCGCCAATATAATATAAATAGCGCCAGATTAATGATCTTACACTGCAAACATTCGTAGAAACAAAAGCGGAAGAATAAAAATTCCAGTCAGCTCCGTTGGCCGAGTTCCCCGGCACGAGCAAGCTACGTACCGACGACAACAGTCAAAGGAATATAGACATCCTCAGAAGTCTCAGAGAGTCACGGCCCGCCGCCCTCCTGTCACGAGGGTGGCGGAGGGGTGGCACCCGTGGAGTAGCGGGGTGTGTGGGGGGGGGGGGGGGGGGGGATAAGACGCCAGGGGTGGGCGCCAAGGTCACCGGCCCCTCCACTACGCAACCTGCCCGCGACACGGCCACGAGCGACTCCAACACTCGACGATTAATATCGAATGGCTCTCGGTACGTCACGGGAAAAATAAAATCCGGGAGGAAAAGGACGCTTTGAACCGCCTGGAGGTTCAGTTGTCAAACGATAAAGATATTCACAATTTAATTTAAAGTTTTTAAGTCTTTTTGTTTTGAACAATTTATGCACGGCTCGATCCTATACATTAACAAAATTAAATTAAACTAAAACGTTTAATTTAATTTTCGTTAACTGAGGGTATTGGGTCTTGGTTCACCGCGAAGATTATTTAACATTATTATTACTTTTGCAATTACATAAAGAAGAAATCATTAGATCTTATCTATGCTTAGTAAAATTGTCTTATTCGTTACTTTTTTACTTTCGGACAAAACAAATTATGGCACACATACATTAAGCGTGACTGATTGTCGCCATAACGGACGCGAATAACAGATAATCTATCGGTGGACAAATTATGGTCTGTTTTATATCTCGGTGCACGATTAAGCCAGATTACGTTAGACGAACAGATCTTCAATGGAAAACGACCAAATTTCCACACCCTTCGTCCAATGCGATTACCGCGTGTTCATCAATCGAATGAGTTATATCGCACTGAGCTATTCCGAAACAACATCAGACAGATCAGAGTTCGAACGGGATTTTGGAGATTACCGCTTCGGATAAATATCGCCAATACTTGGTTCGGATTCTCAACCTTTTATAGAGTAGATTTATCACTTACACTACAAAAGTAAAAACTTCTGCTTAACGTCAGTCTTCCGTGAGTACCAAAAGAATTGTAACGTGGCAGTAACACAGTAAACTTTTTAAAATTATTGAAATTGAAATTGGAAGAAAAGAAAAGAAAGCTCTACGACCTACCTGTTACAAATTGATTTTCATTGACAAAAACCAGAACCACTGTCACACTATACAGTTTCTACTTGATTTTGCGAAGTTTATTTTGAAATCTGAGGTCCAATAAAAATTAAAATTAATATAGGACCAATGGAAGCTAAACCGAAATCAATGCAAAAAATATTCAGATTCTTCGATTTTCGTGGACGGCAGAAAATAAATAATGATTGTTCTTGTTTTAAAAACTTTCAATTCCCGTTCTAATGAGATAAATTTAAATAATCTTATAAAGTATGATGACGTACGATGAACATTTACTATCAGTAAAATGAAGCCCCATTATCACAAGTTGTTCTGAATCTTCAACAATCACAGCCTCATAAATTCCAGTGGGAAGCCGGCTGACAATACTCTCGACATATTCTTGTAGTAAACATTTGCTGAATTAACAGGCCACGTGCACAATGCGCGAACAAGCGCAGCGTTGAAAAAGTCCGATGGGAAAATCCCAGCCTGACGGCGCGACAGGTTACCTTTTGCTCAGGCGACTTTTGCCGCCTATTGGGTTCAGATCAGAGGTGATACTTGTTATGCAAATAAGGCAAATGAGTCACAGCGGCCGCAGTCTCCGCGTCGTTGCATCACGCGTATTATTAGCTGTGGAAACGTATAACGGCGGATAAAATAGAAAATCCCTTATCGCCGTTCGCGTGTAACGCATACATATACAATTGTACACATGTCCGAGAGCTCTATCGCTATGCTATTGAAATCGTGATGAAATTTTTTTTAAACAACCGTTTATAAAAGTAACAACAGCTAATACATATATTTTAGTCTATGGTCAAAGTCAAAGTATCTTTATTCAATATAGGCTTAACTTAAGCTCTTATTGAATATCAACAAAAAATCTACCACAGGTTCACTAAACTAGACCTGTACAAAGAAGAACCGGCAAGAAATTCTGCGGTCTTGTTCTTTTTGTTATTTTTTCGTGATGCAATTATACAAACTTATTTAGGTATACAATCAGCAGCAGCCAGGGGTCTTGCAAGTGCAGAGTAAGAGTCTTTTTCACACATCCTTAACCTCAATGTATTCTTGGACATTATTGTAGTCCCTTGCCAGTAAGGTAGCTTGTAGTATACTTTTAGGCAAATGGGAAAAGTATATAAAGTCATAAGTGCACCATGCAACATTAGTACGTTTTTGCAGACTTTTCATAACTTCACAATAAGTATATCTTTCAGTATTTCGAAGAAAACTACATAGTGTCTTAGCCCATATAGCTTAGGAATAAATTATATTCTTTCAGTTATGAGCAAAAGCTAAGTCAGTATTTAAAATTGTAATTCACCTTTTAAATTGGTATTGGTATCGGCACCGGTATTTTAAGTTAGTTTGCTAGAATATACTGAATTAAAAGCCAAAAACTGATGCCAGAACACAGTAGTGCGACTCATAATTATGGCCAATGTACAATACCATAAACCTACTTCACCTCGGGCTTGTAAATAAAACTATAAGAAAAAAAAACAATCATGCTTTTATAATGTGCCTCAAAACCAAAGACAACGACTTTCAAAAGAATTTATCCACTTTACAGTAAAAAAAACAACAGCCGCTTTGAATAAGAAAACCAACATACTCGTTATTCCATTCCCAATATTATAAATGCAAAACGTAAAAAAAAAATTACGACTCCGTGTACGAGACAACACTAAAAACAAAACCATACACACGTACACACACGCACACACACGCACACCCGCGCACACATAGTCAAACGCGCTAAACGTGTTAACCAGCGAGGCATCGGATCTAGCTAATAGGACATCATTCATTGAATTATTCAAGTCTACGATTCTCCGGAGCCCCGTTCATTATGCCTTATTAGAGGGTGCGTAGTTGCGGTTCAATTCTAGCAAGCCCGTCCAATCAACATTGCTCAGGTGTCGCGCGTTCGCAGAGTTTGAAAACAAAAGCTGGTAGGCTGGGAGCGGATGGGCGCCTCCGCTTCGCAAACTGGTCGGAGAGGTGGCCAGCTGAGGTATGACCGAGGCAATTACGCGAAAGACCGCTCCGTGCAACTCGCGTTCGCATATTAATATTCCAGACTGCAGCGCACTTGTTTCGCGTTGAGGATTAACACTCTGAAAGAATACGGGGGTGATGATGGTACACAGGGTAAGTAGATACTTGACGGAGACTGAAAGGTAATTTTTTGGGAGGGACATTAAACACAAAAAAAAGTCTCATAGTGAAATATTAATTAGTGTATGCGATGATTTGTAAAACCTACGAAGAATATATTAGGATATTTAACCTCTATAGGTTTAAGACACGGAAGAGCTTATTTCATATATTATGTATTTTTTAAATCAACTTACACGCAAGTGCTAATGTACTCTAAAATTTAATAGGAAAGTATGAATCGAAAAAGTTGACCTACAATAGAGAGCTGGACTTAATCCTTAGGGAAGCAAGCGGAAATAGTTAAAAATGTTTTTAAACTTTAATAATTGATTACAATATAAAAGATTAAAAAATAAAAGTTGGCAATCGTGTCGAAATGTACACACAGATATATCAAGTTATATTACTCAACCGGTGAAAACCGGATTTTATAAAACAATTTACCGAATAATCTACAAACGACAGTTCGCGAAACGCGTACCTCGACCTTATTTCACTTAATATGTTATCAATTGTGTTGTATATCAAGTTCGAGGCCGTTCCAAATTTATTCACGATTTAATAAAAAACTTGGTGAGATCGATAGAGATAGTGTAGACAAGAGAACGTCCGAACAGCCGTACACGTGTCCACATAAATATGCGAACTAAGCATTTATATGTTTATTTTATATACGTAACGAGGCACAACGGTCGCGCCTCATTAATTATATAGAAAGCGGCGCTATCTCGATCCGCCCAGTCACGTAGCGAGCCCGGTACGTATCTGAATGTGCGAAGGGCGCGCGAGTCATTTCAGCGATTCGCCGACAATAATCGATGATGATGTATCGCCGATGGAATTTCTTATCTAGGCACGTTCCCACTTCTCGCTATGAAATGGCTAACGCCAGACAATTCGAATATACTTCGCCCGTAGTCGCATAGAGATGTCGCGTTGATTGCGCAACGTAGTAGTTATCGGAGCCGGTAAGAGCGGGTGGCGTGTACCTATTTATACGTACGGAAAATTTTATATTTTATTACACCTACTTACTTATACAATTACACTTACACTTATATTCCACTTACAATATAAATTGACGTAAAAGAAGTAACTAAATATCCGTTTAACAACTTTTCGTACAATAAATGTTTCACTTTAACCGAATTAATTTATTTGCAAGTATGCATGTTTTATGTTATTTAATCGCAACCCTGAACCCCATTATCTATATTAGTATTAACGGTTATTCCTTGTACAAAGAAGCACTCACTGAGTGATATCACAAAGAATACTTAATTGTATCTTAAATATGAATAGGTTTATTTATTAAAGCGCTGTGTGTAGTAACAATATGTTTCATTGGTGTAAGAAGGTGTCATTGACAAAAATTATAAAACATTTCTAAGCAACAAAAAAGAAATAGGTCATTGATCTCTAAACATGTTCTCGATATAAATAAAATCATGAAATAAACTTCAGAAGTGAAATTCAAAGGAAAAAATAAACGTTTTAATGTAAATGTAAATATAATTTTAGTATAATGAAAATAAAAAGAACAATTCATTGATTAAAAATTTATAAGTTCAAAATATAAAAACAAAAATCACCCCCACCAAAGGACTTTGTCAATTGTTATCGTTTATCGACTTCGACGTAAGGAATGTTTATTGATTTATTTCACACTAGCGACCCGCCCCGGCTTCGCACGGGTGCAATGTATTATACATAACACATCAAGATCCGTTGCGTAGTTTTAAAGATCAAAAGACAGACAAACAGCGGGAGGACTTTGTTTTATACTATGTAATGATTTTGATTTCGTCGCTTAAGAAGCAGTACTCTGGCCGTAACTGAGTACGTGGCAGCGGGAAGCGGGGACAGTCAGGTCGATTCGCTAGTGAAGCCTAACTGGGTCCATGGAACCGGTCGATTGAGGCGGTGAGTTTTTGTATCGCGTATCGCTCGCACGAAGGGCGTGTGTCCGGTGGATTGAGTACGCCTCGCGAATTATTATGCGGGATCGGTTTTTACCGGCACGACGGCGGCGGTTGGAATGGACTCCGTTAGGGTTTTTCGATTGCGCGACGGCGGATATGTGATTTACGGTTCTATTCGCGTCGGGATTATTAATGCGGAGGCAACAAGAAATAATATTGTGGAACTGTTTCGAACTTTCTAAAATTATTTTAAATATTCAGTAAATAGATGAACCAATTAAAATCTATCAATTAAAAATATGAATTGTGAATAAATATGAAATAAAAGGCGCTGGCATCATGGATTGGATTACATTATATAAGACAAAGTCGAGTAAGAGCATAAATAATATGGAGCCAGAATTTTAAGTAAGCAATACGTACAGGGAAATATAGTATAGTAACATAGTATAGTAACATGTATATTTTACATCGGCAGTCACATAATCGAAAGTCCTAGATCGGATAAATAGCAGACTTTTTAAAAGATTGGGAACGAGTAATGAATGAACTAGGGATGAACTAACTCCATTCCAGCCTCCTCGGCCAATTTTCTTCGAAAAACAATTCCGAGAAACCGAATAGCGGTGGATTCGTTTACGTCAGCGGGTGGAGACAGTAAAAACGCCGCCACAACTAAGGTGACCAAGCAAAACGGGGGACTATATTATGATGTGCGTTTTTATTTTTGTGTCTTCGTAGTTTTCGGGTATTTCGCACGAGACCTACATTCAAAAATAATTACAGTCTTTATTTGTAATAATATTTTATACCTAATTAATTTTTTTTTTGTTGCCACAGATGAGACTTGGACTCAGGGCTCTAATATGTCTTATGCATTCTGATATAATAAAGTTTGTATTTTCGATATACATCCGTATGAATGGAAAGTTATCGAACGTGAAAATCGAAGGTAAACAAGTCGCTCGGACGTAAAAAACGGTAGGCTATTTGAATGATGAATTTTTATCTATAGACGCGTCATGCGCCAAACTCATTCCAATTGAAATTCAAATATCTTTTTCAATATAGAACCATTACACTTACTTATTGATTGTCAAAACGCTACTGACACTACTAACACTGAAAAGCTACTGGCCTGAGATAAACCGACGAAAGAAACTCAACAGGACATTTTTCGTTTCACTGATAATCACTCCTTAATAAAAACAGCTACAACCGTCACGAATATTAATAACGCATACCATTGTATAATAGGCGAAGACAGTGATATAGCATTTAGGTCATCGTACGCCATCCCCGTTATTAGAAAGGAATGAATAAAACTCTTGTATTATACTATGAATAACTCCATGAATGACACGTGATTAAGTGGATGTCGGGCTCTTGACCTGGCTTACACATTGCAAAAACAGAACGCGAACAACGCATCTATACTTATGTGAACATCAATCTATGTATAATACGTGAAACAAAAACTTTGCAACTACCCCTCTTTACGAAAATTAAGCGGACGGAGTAAAATGAAATTTCGCATACTTCAAGTTTATATTGAATACGGAAAGTTAAAATATTTTTATGTTTTAATATTATATACGTTAAATTAAATTAAATAAATAAAAACACATGGCACTTCAAATGCGTTTGATATCCATTGTCGATAGTATGTGAATGTATGTGTAAATGTACTAATATTTTCGTGTTTTGTGCAGAACAATTGACGGCAAATTCTCTAATATTAATTTCATCGGATAGGTCTGAGAGAAAAAAATCCCTTTATTTTAAAAACTAAATAAATTACGGTCAAATTTGTATGAACAGACAACTCATAGTGAAATTAACTAATCCAACGGAAAAGAATACCATACAGACACAAGTCCCATGGCCAACCTAGCCGCTCCTGTAGCCATTAAATACGCAAGCCTCACTCACTTACAAGACTCACGAGAGCGCTGTCGTCTCCGCTGCCTTTAATAGGGTCGCGATAGATGTAGCAATGTGCAAACATCTCGGAGCAAACTCGATCGAAAATCACTCCGGCGCGTGTGCCTCCATATGGAGTGAGCGATGACGCGGTTATTGTTGCCAAGTCAGCCCCCAAGAGATGCGATCCAGCAATGCAACCGTGAAATTTCGATAAACGACATTTTATTGTGCATCGATAAAAACGTGAATATAAAGCGGATAAAGTAATCTGTGATATCAATTATTGGCGCAATACGAGTTTATCACGCGGCGAAGTTAGAAGCAATATTGAAAATATCAAATTATCAACAAGCACCAGTATTTTCTAATAATTAAACCTAAAATCGACCAATCCCTGGGTTTTCGAGAAATGGTTTGTTTATAGAGTTTATGTTCCTAGAACAAAATTTTCTATGGCTAACACCAGACTTGGAGATTTTCTCGCATATCAACAATAATAATGAGTTAAACTTTAATACTTAATCCTCCGTTTTAAAATTTGTAGAAAAGTACGAAAAAGTGTCGCCGCTGTGGGAATCGAACCCACGTCTTCGTCATTCGCGGCCTGACGCTTTAGCCACTAAGCTAAACGGCTGATAGCCACAGCGACGAAAATCCTAACGTCTTTCATCTACATTGTTTTTAGCATTAATTTAGGCAACTTAATAAATAAATACGGAGGATTTTAACGGACACAATCAACTTGTTATATAAAACCACAAGTTTTAGCAAGTTATCGTCGTATCGAAAGCTTAACGATAATATTTTATTACTGGAAAAATCCAGTTTCATAATCTTGTAACATAATTTGACGCCGCCACGTCGAGTCGTTATCTTGTGAGACCGCTATTTGGATAAGAAACATATATCAACGCGTTAGTTTATATGTAATGTTATGTCGTGTTGTATTTTTCAAGGATGACAATTGACCGTCGATTTGTCACATATAAACAAAAACACTTTTAAAATCTAACGTTTATCAAAAAATTATTCTTTTAATTGTATCCTTTCGCAGATAAAATTACACTTGTTCGACAACACTTATCACGATGTGTTAATAATAATTTATTGTCAAAGTTCAAACGGACAACGTTCGAAAAGTTTTCATTAGGGAATACGCGAATACTTCGTATAATCTATTAGGGCGTTAAACTATAGAGGGTCGACGGCCGCGAAACTTTCGACGAACGTCGCAAAGTAGATAAATATTACGAAAGGCAAAGGCGAAAGGTTACCCAACAGTCGTTACGTAGCCGATCGGCGAGACTTATTTAAAGTTTAAAGCAGAAGAAAAGAATTCAAAATAAAAACCGGCCAAGTGCGAGTCGAACTCGCGCACGGAGGGTTCTGAGGACAAAAAATCATGTATGTTGTATGAGAACCACACTTAAATATATTTTTATTTGCTGTTATAGCGGCAACGGAAATACATCTGTGAAAATGTAAACTGTCCAACTATCACGGTTCATGAGATACAGCCTGATGACAGACAAACAGACAGCGGAGACTTAGTAATGGGGTCCCGTTTTACCCTTTGGGTACGGAACCATAAAAAACATAAACCGCATACAAAAGTGGCGGCAACGAAGCAGCCGGGCCTTGCAACAGAACGATTTCAAAGGGCCCCGTGTATACTTTACGGGTGCACACGCGAGCTGTTGTTATGATATTTATACATATTTAATCTAATTAATAATTTATAATCTATATAATAATTTATTCGTACAGTTTGTTGTGATTTATTTAAAAGTTGTTGGTTTAACACACATTGCGTCATGATATTTCCGTCACCCTAGAGTGGGCGGTGGTTGGTATTTGTTTTTGAGGAAGACAAATTCAACTCTCACAACGTACACGGGTTAGTTTTTGATTATTGGAAGTGAAGGCTGTTGCTCTGCTAGAAAAGCTAAGTATTATTGTTATGAAATTATTGAGTTACTATTGAGTTATAGTTGTATAAATTGGTAAAATCTATGTTTTATAACTTATCTCTAATACTATATCGATGGCGAAATAAAACTAGTCACGAGCCCACGAATGACGTGCGCGTTCGAAAAAAAATCCTCCTCGGCGGCCCATGGCGTGGCCAACTTTGTGCCGACTAAGTAATTTCGCAAAACAGTTTCGTCGCGAGCGTAACTCCCGAGCTGACTCATGCAACTTCTTAGGAGCGGAAAACAAAAACCATTCGAGCTCTTGGTCATGAAAAAGCCAAATTAGATGTTTGGAGCCGCTGTGGATTTCTAAGACTGCTATATAAATAGAAAACTTCATCTGTTGTTTCTCCAGCTTTTGTTAAATAACATTAGCCCATTTCTCAAAACTGTTTCAATTCTTGCAATCGACGACATAATTCCTTTTTCAGATAATTTCATACTTTCTTCTCGTATTATTCTAGATTTACGTATTTGGTATATTCATTTAAATTTTAGGTTTAATTCATTTTTCATAGGCACTTCTCTTGTTCGGATTTCAAACTTTAATCTAAAATAGGATCGGTTAACGCCTAATTGAAGAATTAAATTACATCATAACTCAAGTTCATCTCGTATAATGTTAATGCGCGCGACGACGTCAGAACGCGCTCTCACGGAGCAGAAGTGACACTAAAAAGGGGTTGCCTAGTCACCATCTCCTTCTGCGGAATGGCGAGATAAAAGACGAGATGTACACCCGCGCGGCATAATAAAACTACCGCATAAATCTCTGAGACCCTTCCAAAGTGCTAGTGTACGGGAAACAGGGCTGCCGTATAGGTTTCGCCTCCTAGTGCATTGAGTTTCGTATCATGTTTAAAAAGGACGGGAAACAAATTGCTCTCATCTGTTTAGTACTTAGCAAAAAAATGCATGAATTGATTAAAATCAATTATTTTTATTGATATAAAGAACATTTACAAACGAACATCCGAAACACTATACAATAGTTTTTAGTACGAGACACGTGTGACAGCCCTAAGGGCCGAAACTAAATTCGGCGCAACCACGCCGGGCTCACGTCCTGTCGCTGACACGACTCCTCGCAAAAACAACGCGCCTCCACAATGCTTACTACAATAGATGGCTGAGCGGGGCGGTTTCTACCGAAGACCCCCCCTTGCTTACCTCTCCCCCCGCCGTCGCGCGGGCAACACGCCGCCCCCACTTCCCCCAGGCTACCGTCACCCCACGGCTACTTACGTGACTCAGCAGAGCGGGCGTTATATCAAATTCGACGTCTCACCGACTTTAGTGGCTTGTTTTTCGTTTGTTACGCCGTTAGCGGCGTTGTGTTCTTTTTCTCTCCCTCCTTTTTTTCCGCGACTCAATAAAACGTCGGGTAATGACGCCATTGGCAAATGATAAACGCGAATGTATTACAGCGGAGACGGGTTCGTTTCGTTCTCTCGTGTCAAAAGTTTGGAGGCGGTACGAAACGACGGGGTGTTTTGAACGGGAAAAGTTTCTCGAGGCTCCCGGGCCACATTTGAGAGAGTTGCGCGACGGAAGGCTAAAGTTGAGTTTGAATTTTTCCGAAGGCCAAACTGAATCGAGAGCGCCCCCGCAAAGTTGTCTGGCTTTTAGTTCGTAATAAAACTTCTGTCGTAACAGTTACGATTCGTGCTAACTCGAATAGAAATACTTACAATTGACGTGAGTTTACAAAGTAGTTAGTAGCAAATTATGAAATCGTAAACAACACTTCCGCCAAGATACAAATCAGTTTTTATTAGTCGATGAACAAAAATGTACTTCTCCAGTATACTTCTCCAGTTTAGCTTTCATTGATTTTCAATTACACAGCAAACAGAAAAATGTAACAAAAACAGTTGTGCATTGCCACTTTCATAATTTATGAAGTCATTTATCAATTACTTACATAAAACATGAACTACACTCGTTTACCGTGGTGTCATTAAAACATAGTTGATTTTACTTGAAAGCATGAAAATAAAAGAAAATATTAAATTAGAATTGCTATAATCACAAGTTTATTTAAAAACCATTAGCGTCAGATAGCGCTGTATAAAACCAACTACTACGACAGTTATTAATGCCAAACGAGGGTGCTACTTGGGAGTCCAAAAGTCCATTTGCATCCAAGATCAAGTCTTTAGCACGGCACGGGTGAGGGTAGGTTCAAAACAAAAAGAAAAGAGCTCTGGAAATCACACTCCTAGAACGATGAGTGCGCGCGTCGCTATACGCAAAACAAAGTCAACGGCCGCGCCTGTCGTCCGTCTCGGCGGTGCGCCGGTGAATCGGGCGCAAAAGGTGAACGGCACGGTGACGGTGACGAAAGGTTTCATGAGAAAAACGACGAAAGCCGATTGGACTCGGACACACAGCCAGACAGCCGAGCGTCTATCGTTGCGCTGCCGGAAACCGTAGAGCTGGGCCGCAGCGGAATGCGGGGGAGGGGAGCAAGACTAAACACCAACGTCTACTAAACGACCCCACTAAACGGTCCGAATTGTAAACGGACTCGCGGGTTCTCTTGCGGCTAATGTTGATATAATTTCGGGGGCACAAAGATAATGTCTTGAAATGGGAACAGTTTTCATCATTAGCGTATCGAAAATAAGCCAGTACGTTTTAAATGTATATAATCATGCAGTATATAATGTAATACGCTACCCTACATAAGCCTGTATGTCTGTACTGTCATGCAGTACGCTCCGCTACTAAATTCGTAACATATTTATTCAACAATTTTTTGTATCCACGGCGTAAATGCTAGTGCTCATTTAGTATTTCTCAGCCGAAAAAAGGAAAAAAAAACGAACGTTAGTGTCAGTGATAATGGTTTCCCACGGCAAGGCTTCACAATTTTACATCATGTACTATACCAAGGCGATTAATATCGACACGAAACGATAACCCGCCACATAACGGCGACATCACAAAGAGAAACATAAAAGAATAGTCAATTTTTATTACGTAAACGTAGCGACGGTGAAGGGGGACTGTTAATGCTATGCGACACCTGCCAACGCCAAAAACGGTGGACCCCAGCTGCGAGAATTTGCTATGTAGATTCTGTTGCGTCATCGCGTCGTGCTGTGATAATAGTCTTTAAGGCCTCGTTGCCTAAATAGGCAAGATTTAAAAATTTTATCGTCACCGAATGATGTTTTTTGCTTTGGATCGTAGACTTTTAAAGCATCTTTGGTCGCTAACAACTAAGCTCTGATTTTTCAACTATACTGAATTAAGAAATTAGGATACGAGAGGACATGTAAATTCATATAAAAACATTAAACACAAACAACACGCGTGTAAACATTCAAAAGATATTTAACACGTACATAATAAAAGGCAAGAGCCCGGAGAGATATCAAAATCCCATAAACACTCCCTTCTAACCTCTCGTCGCCCAAACCTTCCACTGGAACAATTCGCAGATTTACGTACAACGTGTAATAATATCGGGGTAACATCAAAAAACAAAAAAGCCTTCAAAGAGCAGTCGAGTAATGCATCTAAGCGCTGCGAAAACCTCCCAAATATTGTATATATTATGCTCTGCTATCACCTACGGGATATATTAATTTTAAACCCGTATCCTGGACTTGGTCCATTCAAACCCGTTCTGCTCAAACCCGGAGGATTGGCAACCCTAGTGCCGGATTGACAACCCTAGAGCCGTAAATCGTGCTACGCGGACCGTGAACGAGCACTGGCGTCGTAAACAATCGATAGAACCGGCCTATTGCGACTATAGATATTCGTCAGTATAACTGCGTACATGATGGTGGATGTCCGGGCAAAGGTTTCCTCTGTATATGGGATGTAGGGGCATAGTTGACCACACGACCTCACTGTCGAAAGACATTTATTTACTAATTGTTAACTTCGATAATATGAAGGTTGATTCCTTCACTGCTGAGCACGTGATATGTCAACACTTAATGGTTAATAATGGTCAAAGTTATCAATTTTATCGGTATGTGGCACCGTGATTTCAACTCCGGCTGGCTGTAGAGCGAGCATATTGATTTAAAAGCGACCGCCCGGACACAGCTATTACGCCTACAACTTTTTGTGTACGGCTCTAAATATAATAAACACTCGGGTCGCCGCGGCTGTCAGCTAATCTGAAATGCTGCATTAATTGAACCAATTCCTAGGCAATCTGATGCATGGTAATGCACGGCTTAATGGAAAACCGACAATTGAGTATTCGTGTGTACTTTTACATGTTATCTGATCTATCGTTAACCTCGCAGTGTTGTCAATGTCCTCATAATCGTCATCATAAAATCTGACACGGTTAACATTTTTCTCATTTGACACCTTTGTTGGTAAAATTATAATCGAAGGTTGATGTAACAAATTTTATTCTTCCTTCATTAATTACTTCAATGAACGAAAATACTTGCTCCCATACAAATACTTCAAATCTCTCTTTAATCTAATGATTGCAACGAAAAATAAGTCTGGAATATGTGAATATGCTCTCTGAATATACTGTGGCTCGTGAAGTGTATATTCATAAAAAACTCAGGCTTAAATAATTAACAGATAATTTTTTTAATGGGATTAAAGCTAAATAATTCTAATCCGATTTTGAGGGAGTTATTAAGGTTCGTGTAACGTACGTTTCGTTGAAACTGTTATTTAGCCTTGTCATTTGGATTCAAATAATTTAATCTAAAATCCACTTAATAATTAATTATAAATTCAACGTAATTTAAATTTAATATCCCGAGAGACATTAAAATATAATACAGGCCAAACGAAACAAACAACGAACGAAACAAAAAACGAAAAAAAAGCAATCGAAAATTATCGAACATTTAGAAATAAAGTCATATTAATTTTTAATACGAGGTTGACAACGCAACAGTCTCTGTTGTTGCACAAATGGGCAGGTCCGACCGGGTAAGTACCATGACCTCACAGAAGACCGGCGTAAAGTAGAGCTATTTTACTTCTGCGTTTCGTCTGGTAAGGTAGCTGCAATACAAATGTCGATGGGCGACTGTTATCACATTACATCAGGTGAACCGCCAGCTCGTTAGCCACCTTCTCTCATAAAAAAAAGGTTATGAACTTTTTACAGTATCCATGGGCACGCACCGATAAGAACTTTGTGAAATGTTTGAAACGCCGAGAATTTAAAACAAAGTTGAGGGCGGCAAGATCCGTAAAATAGTTTAATTTTACAACGCCGCCTCGAACAAATAACTGAAACGGATTAATTTTCTTTCCCACTATTTCCTTCTACCGTCTACTTTTGAACAGGCAATCGCATCCGACTTATGTCCAAACTTCGACAATTTGCATGCAGAAATTAAAGCGAGTTTGCAACTTCGGGATATTTGTCCCGCGAGATTGTTATAGCGAAATTTCAACTTTACACATTACACAGATAGTTTGGAGAGACGTTCGGGAACAATAACTTTACGGTTTACACCTGTACTAAATTACGAGAAACTTCGACGGCGAACGGCTGAGATGGGTGTGTGAACCACGCCGAAATATCTATACAGATAAAAAACTGGAGTGTCTGTTTGTAATATTAATATAACCGCTTTTTACACGGCACATATACCAAAATAACATTATTTACAATTTTTGTCTGTCTGTCTGTTTGTTTCGGCTAATCTCTGAAACGGCTGGACCGATTTGGACGGGACTTTCACTGACAGATAGCTGATATAGTAAGGAGCAACTTAGGCTACTTTTATTTAACAACTTTTTTTTTTTTTAATTCTACGCGGACGAAGTCGCGGGCACAGCTTAGTCTTGAATAAATAGGATACGATGATTGTTGTTGAGAGTATTTAAACAGATATATAAAATAACTATTTTCCAAGTATAAATTCATCGAATTAAGCCTAGAAAATCAATGCTTTAACATTACTAATATTATCGCTTGACACAGAACCACATTAAGAAACAATCGCAAAACGTAACTCCGATTGTTTAACATGATTTGAACGCAAATGGAGAAGTAGACGTCCATAAATCAAAGTAAAGTGGCAATTCCACCGAAAAGAATCGCCCAGAGGGGACTCTGATAAGTGCGCTACGTAAATCGCGGAGGACGAAACGGGGTCACGTCTCGTGTCTGGGGATGACTTCCTAGTGGTAGATACGTCGGAGAACACTCGAGAGACAACGGTCCCCTTTATTTCCAGTCAACCACGGGGCGCTCGACTGCCCTCCCTTTAGCCGAAAGCATATTAGACATTGTTAAAGTTACGCAGTTTTACAATCGAAGAGGAGAAAGAGGACGCAAGTCGCGCAGTCACAGATATTTTGAACCCTTTAAGAACACGTGGGCCCCAATTGCCTCGGTCATAAAGCGAAAAGCAGAACAATAATACTTCCACTTCTGTGGGCTTTCTTTGAGGCCGTGTTACGCAAAATCACCTTAATCAGGAAGAATTTTAATTCGTTGCCGGGGACCGTAAGTTCGATTTCCACACGATTATACAACTATTTGTTGATTGGGACTTATAGATAATTGTTTCGGATCTGGGATTTTATCCATGTGAAATCTATGTTTGTAAAACGTCCTTACAACGCAAATATTGGTATCCTACAATAAGGGCAATGTTTTTCTAAGAATGTACATAATATAATATACACATGCAGAACAACGAGATAAGACTCGATTCGGCCCTTAAATTTAACTACGGCAATGCTTCTATATAAACGTCTCGCAGTATTCTACGAAGCGAAACTTTATCTACTCTAGTCGTCTCCGTGCAATAATATCCAAGTATTTTATGGCACCGTATATAAAAGTCAGCAATCGCCGCTTTTCGTCGTTAAGATGAGGTTTGGTCATCAGTTTGTTCCTGCCTGAGACATGTAATTATCCAATGTAATCCAAACACGCAATCATTCAACATCAGTCTTGCAACGCAAGCAGCAATCAGTCAACGTAATCCCGTGCTATATTGAGAGCACAACGCTGTTCAAATATAATGGACTCGGGGGCAAATTTTAACGAATACATTTAATTAAAATATTTAATTTGAACAATCCACGAGCGAACAAATGAATATTCGTTCAATATTAATCTAAAGGTGAAATTGCTTTCGTGTTATGAAACAATAATTGAACACAATTGTTTGTGTACATAAGTGATTGCGTATTTTACCAATCCACACCGCAACGCAATTAAAACATCATCCGTACAAGCGGTCGACGAGCCCATTTCCACAATCAATACGAAATCACTTCAAACAATAATAACACGGTTCTGTTCGGTAATTACAATTTTAATAGGTCGGTCAGATGTGGGTGTTTCTACCTCCCCCACTTTAAAGGACACGACGGGGCGGGAGGGAGACAACAACAATCCACAGCACAATAGAACCTTAAGTAACTAAAATTATATTGCCTTTGATAACTTTATTGAACAGTAAAGCGAGAGATGTAACTCCCTCAACCGCTTGATAATTCGTGGTTTCATATTTAAACTGTCCAA